TGTTGCTGTAGCTTGCGGTTCCACTGATGCATGTGTTCGAGCAGCATGGAGCAGTGGCCGCGTCTGTTGCCTGCAGGTTCGTGCTGCGACGAAGAAGCGCAATAGGTTGCGGCTCCAGTGATGCATGTGTTCGAGCAGCATCGAGCAGTGGAAGCGTCTGTTGCCTGCAGGTTCGTGCTGAGACGAAGAAGCGCAAGGCTCCCGCACCTGTAATCCCTCGCGCGCTCCCCCTCCTTCAGCCGGGGTCGGCGGATAATAACATCTAATAACTCATCACTGTCAAGAGCCTGTTTCAAGGTTAGCAGCCGTGGTCAATCGTGGCAATGACCTGTTTCTCATGAATGATCCAGTGGATGATCCCTGGATCCCTTCGCCATCGCACCGCACCCGGTGTCCATCACGGCGATCCAGGTGTCCACCGGCTTTTGCTTCGACGCGGGCAACGGCCCTCCGATTCTCTACCCGTGCCATCAACCGAAGGCCCAGCGCAAGCAACGCTTTCAGATCACCGAGGCTTGGCGAACGCGTCGCGAGCAACGCTTTGGGATCGGAGTTCGAGATCCCTCTCCACACCCCACTTCGGAAGGGCTCGACCTTGGGGCACCTTGGGACGGTTCGCAAGTGAGTGTAGGATCCAAGGTAGAGTGTTCCATTCAATCACAGACACCGGACCGGCCGGACCCATTGCAATGCTTTTTCTGCGACGATGAGTGGAACACGACGACGGTGTGTGTGGATTCTTTGACGGGACAGTGCAGGTAATTATATGCTGTATATAATAGTGCAGTGCAGTCAGCCCAAGACGCGTAGAACCGTGTTATGTTAAATGTTTTCGGATCAGGATAATATATTACTGTAAGATGAAGGTCGTGAATTATGTTCCTGACACCACCTTAGTTTGCTACACTCAAGCCGTTCTATGGCAATGCAAAACCTCTTTTGTTGCCTACATTAATCATTTGCATGATTTTATTTTTTGGCTGCATGAATTCTGTTTCAACCTGCTTTTGCAAATTCAAGGCAGCACTTTTTGAGCAACTGGGTGGATCTCTCATTTGACACAGGCCCGCATGAGAATGATCATGTACCACCGGAACGAGCCATCCTGCATTTAGATGCCGCGATGCAAGGGGTGCTGATCCGTCAGATCCCTATATAAGTCGTGTATAGGGTCATTGGTAAGACCATGGCTATTCCTATCATTTCTTGGGCGAGGTTTCAGTGACTATTTGTTGAAGAGGTTGTTTAAGATGGACGCCAATGTGGCATTTAGAGGTTTGTGCCATGTACTTTGCAACCACCCTCAGCTCTGAGGATTCCGGCCGTGTCCAGATGATGCGCGGATGGGATGCTGGGCAGCAAGTGACCCGTGTTGATGTAATTGGCACCCATTTTGGGTCGCATCGATGTGACAAGAAGCTACTAGGAACAAAGGGCATCGCTACTAGGACCTACTAGGGGCTCCTGGCCTTACTACTAGGAACAAGAAGCTACTAGGAAGCCGTGTTTCTACTAGCTTCTTGTTCCTAGTAGTAAGGCACTTGTTACTAGTAGCGATGCACTTGTTCCTACTTGATGTAATTGGCACCCATTTTGGGTCGCATCGATGTGACAAGAAGCTACTAGGAACAAAGGGCATCGCTACTAGGACCTACTAGGGGCTCCTGGCCTTACTACTAGGAACAAGAAGCTACTAGGAAGCCGTGTTTCTACTAGCTTCTTGTTCCTAGTAGTAAGGCACTTGTTACTAGTAGCGATGCACTTGTTCCTACTTGATGTAATTGGCACCCATTTTGGGTCGCATCGATGTGACTCTTGTAAGAGGCCGTGTGCGTGGGGGAACCGCCAGCTTCCAATGTGGGCTCCACTCCACGGTTGACTGGAGATTTCCCTTTGATCAACATGCTGCAGTCTCAAAAGAGATTGCTTTGAGAGGACGATGGTTTTGGCATGTTTTGGCCAACGTTCCATGTTCGACAAATGTCGGGTCCTTTTGTTTGGATTGCCCACGGACTACATTATCTACATTCTTGGTACACATCCTTCAGACATACATGCCAGTGATGTGCCAAGACTGCTTGGAGTTCTGAAACTCGGGAGCCAGAGCGGTTGCGACTGTGTTCCAATTCTACGGAACAGCTGTCAAGTTTCTATTTCTGTTGCTTTCGGAGTCTTGGAAGCCTTCGAGCGGAACAGGGAGCCCTCCACAGCCTCCTCCCCAAACCACGCCAGAACTCATGACAAAGTGTTGGCCGAGCTATCCTGGCACCCGGGTTAACTAAGGCATTTATGTAGAGTAGAATGCAGCCCCAGCATGCCCGAGCACTCGGCTGCTAAATTATCCAAGAGGGCTTTCTCAACATCCTACGCGGGCATATGATTCAAACCACAACATCATACAACATCTAGCAGCTCGCGGGTGTATTGAGGTAACCACTCGTTCCTGGTCCATCCAGCCTCGATCACCACTCACTTCTCAGGACGACAACGGCAGAAAGCGCTTCTTCGAGCGCTGTTTGGATCATCAGCCACAGCCACCCGCACGAGCAAGGCTGAAGAACTGCGCGGAGGTTCCAAGTGCAGTTCGCTGGCGGCGCATCAACATGCAAGCAGCCTGACTGGCTCAGAAGCTCCGGGGGGTGTGGGGGGAAGCCTGAGCCGTCCGAAACGAGAAGAGAAGAGTTAGACACAATAGCAGCGCGTCAAAGAGAGGGGGAGAGAGAACTGCAATGATACCCAAACCAAAACATGTCCACCACCTGGTGCCCTTTGTGCGTTTGGGTGCGTACCCTGGTCCTGGTATCCAAGAATCTGGACCAGAAGGGGCCCCAAATCTGAAGGACCACGACATGCCCCTCAGGGTGGAGCAGTTGCTGCGTATGCCTAGGTACCTTTGGAATGGAAGCTATGGCAAGAGCACCAGCCCCACACAGGCCAGTCGTTCTGTGCTCAAGATCAGTTTCAAGTGAAGTGCAGATCTCAAACACCCACTGAGAAGTTTAGACACCACTGTGGTCTAGCGGCGAATTGAAGATTTCCCAATCAGGCCTTTACAGTACTGTAAGTCTTTTTTGCATTTTGGAACCAGCTCAGCTGTGTGACATCGGCTGCATGTTGTCGGACTTTCGAGTGCAGATTTGTTTTTTTCTCCGTTGCTGCTGGATGAAAGACAAAAAACCACCAGACCCCACCAGACCCGTGGACTTGGTGACTTGCTGCTGGATCCTGTTAGAAGATGTTGGAGGTGGAAATCATCAAACCAAAGCCCTGTGGATGTTTTGGCTTCTTGTCCCTGGCCCTGCAGGAGGAGCTATGCCCTTAGGAGGTGACATGGCCCCACCAGCTTGAGCAAGGCTTGCACGCTGACATTGGGTAAAGCCCCTCTCCAGCTCGCCCAGGGGCTGTAGCTTTCCAGTTCTGTCCGACTTGGACGTCCCTCCGCCGGATCCGCGGCGCCGCGGGGCGGTGCCGTGCGTCCGGCGGAGCGGGTGGGCGGTCTGGCGCGCGTCTCTTTCCGCGCCATGAATGAAGCTCCGGTGCGTCGAAGGAGGCGGAGAACTCGCCGGTGGAGGTATGAAAAAAAGGTGACGAAGGGAACACAGAGAGGGAGTGGGATGATGCGGGATTCGCCCGAAGAGTCCTTCAGCCGGCGAAGTGGTGGTTGGAGATTGGTGAGTGATGACTATGAGAGCATGGTGCTCACAGATGCAAGAACAAATGGTGCAGGTTTGCTGTTCTGCGGGTTTGTCCAGAGATGTTCAGAGCCTTCCCACCAATGGTCTTTGATACGGCGACGGAGTGGTCGATGTTTGACTCAAGTCTCAGCTGAATCTCCAGGTGCTCAAGTCTTCTAGATGCCCCTTCGGGATGTTTATTCGGAGGTGTTGCTCTTCCAAGCTGACGACAATTGTGACATTGTTTGTGCCTACAATGCGCCAGTTGATGAGCCTGCAGAGGTGTTGCTGTGCAGCGCGCGCGCACACAAACACGCACACACACTCCCACACGTTTCTGTGTCTCCAGGTGATGGGAGAGAGATGCACCTGTTTGTGGATGTGTCGCCAGCTTAGAAATCTGCCACACTCACACGCAGGAGTTGGCAGGCCTGGGTATGTTGGTGCCAAAACGTAGCCCACGTTGTGGTCTTTGTCAGGTTGGAAAGATGAGCTGCGTGTGTATAAACCCTAAGATCTAAAAATCACTGCAACTGCGGATTGGTTGGTGGCTCAAAGTGGCTGTCAAGGTGGTTCTTTCGACGTGCTAGACATTTGGAAGCGCTGAGATTTCTCCAGCCCGGTGATTAAAAAAATCATACACATAATATTTCATAATTATGAAGGCTCAAGCTTCTTGTTTGGCTGCCTCAGCACCGCACACCGGAGGGTGTGGAGCGGGTTGTTGCTCGAGTCTCCAGTGACGATGGACTGGGAAGGTGCTAGTCATCAAAAGCAACGGAGCGAGCTGGAAATTGAAACACTTCGCTGAACTTGTTTAGTGCCGCTGTTAAAGAGAGAGGGAGAGAAAGAGAGAGCGAGAGAGAGAGAGAGCATTGCGGCGGCATACTATATTATATATCTTTGAATAGTAACATGTGCACATTATTTATTGTTTTTATATACGTGGAACTTCTTTCGATGTGTGTTTTCAAGGCTCGCCTCAAAATAGGCGCAACCCAAGAAAATGAGGACCAGACGCCCTGGGAGCCCTGTTTTTGCTCATTTGGGGTGACATGTGTTTGAACAAAACAAACGTGAGGTTTGTTCTTTGAGAGGTTTGTTTCTGGATCTTTTGGATTTGTTGATTCATTGGGAGCACAAAAGCTTTGGTGAGGCTCTGACGAAGTAGGCCACTGCTAAACTAGATGGTCATGTTGATTCCTACCAAACTACGTAGATGGTAAGGTAGACCTTTGGCACATTAGATCATGAACTAGATCTTTGACCACTAGATCTATCTAGATCTCCAGTAAAACAGAGCCCGGGTAAACTAAATTACTAGATCTCTTCATCCGTGGTCCCTGATTAAATTAAATAGGCTTCTAGATTAGCTCGACTGCTGCCAAACTATGTAGATTTCTGGTGAAGTAAATCTTTGGCAGACTAGATGGTGAAGAGTTCTCTTTACCATTTTGTTCTGGTAGGCTAGATCTCCGGTGAGGTGGATGCTAAACTAGATCTCTGGTAAGGTGATGTAGGTCGCTGCTACACTAGATGGTAAAGTAGGATGGTGCACTAGATCTCTGTTAAGCTCGATCTTTGGTAAACTAGACCATCCTGATTACTGATTCAATAGACCTCCCGCAAACTGGATTTTTGCCAAACTAGATCCCTGGCGAGTTAGATTTCTTAGGTTTCACCTGAGCCCGATCTTTGCTAAAGTGGGTCTTTGATAATCTCAATGCTAAACTAGTAGGTAGGCCTGTATAGAGCTCAACTCTGGCAAACTAGGCCTGTTTATATACGTCTAGGTTTCCATAGATGTTCTAGGAAACTACAACAAGTGCCATGCGCCCATTCGTGCCTTGTGTGGACGGGTTGGATGTGCGCGACGAACCCACGAGCCCGCAGCACAAGCATGCATCCAGTCATGAGGCCAATGTTATCCAATGTTGGTATTTTTTGTTGGTGCAGGACAGGACAGCTCTATCTCTCTCTGTGTATGTATGCATATGAACAAACACAAGGTAGTCCAAACGCAGACAGAGATGCTTATACAGGGTCAGCTACCGATGACATCCGATGACAACAGTGTTCTTTAGCTCCTGACATTTGACACACCATTTGTGTGGAGACAATTGGTATCAAGTTCCAAGTGATCACAGCCACAGGTTTTAGAGCCCATTTGCGTGCCAAAGGTGAGAAAACATTTAGAGGAGTTTGCTTAGCAGCTGGCTCAAGAAGAAGGATGCCGGGATGCCAGTCGCTTACTGGGATGAGGCGTGGTTGGTTTTCCCTCCTGCCCGAAGCCCAAGAGTTGATCAGTGGTGTAGGCTCCACTCATCAAGTCGCGAAGGTCCTCCCTTGGCTTGTTGGGATGGGTCCTTCAAGCAGCGGATTTTTACGGAAGAATGCTGTATCAAAGCCAGGTGAGCCAGACAGGCGAAATGTGTTTTGCTACAAAAGTTTTCCAGGTGTAGAGTTGGTGGATTGCATGCATTCCTTGGCCAAGCTGCAGGTGGTGTCTGAGTGGTGCACGGCATGCCGGCGGTATGTGAAGAATGACAGCAACTTCTACAGCGGATATTGTGGAGCTTGTTGGCAGAAATGGAATACAAAGGCTGGGCCCACGCAACAACTGACAACGTTCATAATGCCAGCTGCAAGACACCGGCAAGCTGCCGAGAGCATATCATTCATCTGATGAATGATAGATATTTTGTCTATTTGGAATTGTATGTGCTGCTCGCATCTGCTCTAGAGACTTCGAGTCAGCCAGCTCTCAATACCACGAGAGTTTATTTTTTTTCACTTTGTTTTTGCTTTTGAGTGCGAACAAAAGTATGATTCTAGGGCATTGGTTTGTTTTTTCTTTGATTTTTCTTTGATTTTGTATCTCAGTCAGTGGTTTGGCACCTTTCTCTGGGCCAGAGTCTGCTGGAATCCAAAAACCTTGCAAAACCTCGAGAATCTTTGATTTTTTTACGATTGTGTTACAATTTCCATGGTATTTACAATGGTTTTTGGGCCAAATCGTAAAAAAAACAAAGATTCTCGAGGTTTTGCAAGGTTTTTGGATTCCAGCAGACTGTGGCCCAAAGAAAGGTGTGGTATAAATGTTGATGTCTTCCAAAACCTTGCAAAAACCTCGAGAATACTTGATTTTTTTACGATTTGGCTCAAAAACCATTGTAAATACCATGGAAATTGTAACACAATCGTAAAAAAATCAAAGATTCTCGAGGGTTTTGCAAGGTTTGGGGATCCAGAGTCTGCTGGAATCCAAAAAACAAACAACAAAGCCATTGAAACAAAAACATTGAACAAAAACAAACAATACCAACAATACCAAAAAGGCAAAAAAAAGAACAAAAAAATAACAAACAATAATCATAAAATAATCATACTTCAATTCAAAGAAAAACTTGAAACCATAAAACAAAACAAAAAAAAAAACAAAGAAACATCATACTCCCAAATCAAATCATAAATCAAATCATATCTGGATTAAAAAAAAACAAAGAAAAAACAAAAACAAATAAAATCCAAGAATCTTGAAGCTAGCTAACTTTCGAAGTTACTAATCTGCTCGCTAAGGACACAAGAGTTAGCGAAAGTACCAAGTCCTAAGTCATAATATGTCATAATGCAAAAGCTGAAGAGCCAAAAGAATATCCAAGACCCATATAGCCATATAGGTCATGAGTCATGAGCCTGTTGATAGAAAATAACAGAAATGGAGCCCCCCTTTCCACAAGTCCCATCTCATTAGACCATTTGGGGCGTGTTTGGAGCAAACAGGACACCGCAACATGGGTCTTATTCAAGTATGCCACAAGTCCTATGTCACTTCGGGCCGTAACATGGGTCTTATTCAAGTATGCCACAAGTCCTATGTCACTTCGGGCTTGAAGCCTAAGTCATCCGCGCCCAGCATATGTGTTATATACACATTAGATATAACAATCAATACAAACTGGAGCCGTTTTGCTGTCTATGTACCGCATTGTATGGTTGCACAGACAGTTGAGAGACTCCTGACCATCCATACAATGAGGACAACAAAGTCAATCTCTGAAAAGCTACCGCAGTGACGTGAACGTAGAAGTCCTTGATTGCAAGATATCCGGAGCCGGAGCTAATTAGATCAGGAGGAAAGTTCAACGCTTTCGCAAGGCTAATCTCAGCGAATTTGTGCAAGCTTGTGCTATTCTGGTGGAACTGTTTTAGACAAGGTATGCACTGACAGAACATTCATGAACGTTCAGCATTGGAGTCAACGAAAGATTCGGCAGGCAAAAGGTAGAGCTGGGAAGCAACAACCGGATCAAGATGACAAGCTTGCCATTGGCGACATCCTGTTTTCGCAGGCGAGAGCGCACGAGTTGTCCAAGTGTTTGTCTCCAAGGATTTGCTGTAGCTAACTAGTCACTGTCACTTGCTTTTGCTTGTTTCATAACAGAACACGACGACGTGCCTCACACATGCGGTTTGTGCGTTTCAGATACATAATTACTTATTTAGACCCAGTCTATCATTGTCCCAAGAATGTTTCAAGGAGCACAGCGTTTTCAGGAGGCGCACAGCACTCGGCCAAGATTGGTGGATGCTATCTACTCATTGTCTAATCGGCAACGTTGTCCGCAGGCGACCATTGCCGACCGCTTTCAGGATGGGCGGCCAATCGAGAAGACAATCGAGGCGTTGCGACGGGATCCCACAGTCCCTGGATGACACGTTTCAGCCAGTCACAGTGACATCTAGTGATGACATTGTGACGCTATAATATTGTTTGATACCGCTTTTTGTTGGGCTCTTCCCATATGTGGAGATAATGGCGCGGTTCCAAGAAAAGGTTGACATGGCTGGTTAAACCGTCTCTTTGGACCATGATTTTGGGGTCGCGTTCAAGAGACTTTCGACAACACAGCCGCCCGTTCGAACAGGAAGAACGGTGGTCTACCAGTCATGGGAGAGACCTCCGTTGCTTGAGGCACCGTTTCTGGTGCGACGTTTGCTGTGGCGATTTGTTGCAACCGTCCGTAGCGATGCCCAACATGTTACGTTCGTAGTGTCCTTTTGTTACTAGTAGCGATGCCAGGAGCTATGTTCGTAGCGTCCTTGCTCCTAGCCCAGGTGATTTTCAAGATCCCGAAGATCAACGTGGTGGATGATGATGGAAAGCATGTGGCCATGGACAATCGTCGCTTGTACTCGTTCCTGATGGCCTTCGATGACCATTACTTGGCCTCCCGGTTGTACATGTTGGTAATTAATTGAAACCGCGTGATTGATTGAACAGGGTCAGGAAGGGCACACTCCTTTTACTTGTTCAGATGTCTATGACCATGTTATCCATTGGTCATGTGTGCAGACAAAGTTAGTCTTCAGGTTCCGGTGAAGAGGTTTGCCTCAAAGGAACACTACGGTCTTGCTGACTTCGAGCGCAAAGCGACCTCCATTTGTGGTGGGCATCTGGTCCAGCTGCGCTCCCAGAGCCATGCCCACAGCGAAAGCGTCCCATTGCCTGCAACGGCCAAGTCCTTTTTGAAGATGAAATGGTCCGAAGTGCGGGACCACCAGGGAGCGTGTCTCCGAATCCAAGAAGACCAAGTGGTGATCTCCGGATCTCAGCGCCAGGCCACGAAAGCGTTCAGATGCGTGCAGAGTTTGCAGAGAGATTAGACACCAACACCAACTATATATATAACTGGGTGAGTTTATATATTATATACTAACCCTGTGCTTATATTACCATCCGTGCACTACTCCCAAGAGGATTGTACGGAAATGAGGCCGAAAGGCCCTTAAAAGATTTTAATAGATTTTGTATAGGGGGTGGCCTAATTAATTATTCCAGGGGTCATGTCACCTGTCGGAACAATTTTTCAGAATAAGTTCGATGGAACAATATTTACAGTAAGCAAGGTAGTGGTTTAAGGTACTACCCTTGAATTCAGAATAGTTTTTGGACTACTTTTGCAAACCACAACCTATCTGGCTGTTGACGGGTGTATCAGGTACAGAAGTCTGAAAATTATTCTGCAATGTGAATGACATATTGGAATAATTTTCAAAATCATTGCTCCAGCAGCTTTGTCAAGATCGCAGCAGGTGGAGGATGGAATCAAAAGCTACCAGCGAATCCTTTCATTGCTCCATTGTGACTTGGTGTTTCTATTGAATTTCGTAGGCCTCGTGACAGCATTGCTTGCAATTAGCATCAATTAGCAATTTATATAATTTTATATATTAATTTATAGCCGAGCTGTGGGATTGCGAGATCAACCTTTGAGTCAGCCATGGTTTTCCAGAATAGGTGTGTTGGAATGGGAATTGACGAATGGATATGCTAAACTCACCCGAGCATTTCTCAGGGGCCACCCGGGCAGGAGGGCTTCCAAACTCAGGTGACGCGATTGATTTGGTGGATATGCGAGCGAAGGCGTTAGATGCGTTAACTCATCTATCCTCATCTCATCAGCAATTGAAGTTAAACATAGTTAAACAATGTTGTTGTTATATAATATTTGTTATATAATCTGTGTTGGAGAATGTTGGAGATGTGTTTGGGGAGAATGTTGTGTCCGTGACTCAGCTTCTTTAGAAGCTTGACGTGTCACTTTTCATTGGCTTTCTTATTTCTCGTCTATGGCTAATGATGCTGCTAATGGCATCCACTCCAGGATCTTGCCTACCTCAGCTGACTTTGCTTGCACAACTGGCAGGATGGAGTTCGATGTTCCTCCCACCAATGGCATGTGGACTACCCGACAGTGGACCTTTCTTACGTCGATTCTGTTGCCACAGGAGGGGCTGCAGCAAAGTATAGAAAGACCGGGGAGGAATTGGATGGCTGAGTGCTTAGTGCTTAGTGGATTGTAGCGACTCTAGATGTCACTAGTGTCTTTTGAGAAGCTCGATAGCCTGCTGTCCTGCCGAGAATGAAATGCCTGCTAATCTCCAATTGAACCAGGTTTTGTGATTTATGCTTCAAAGACTAGAGCAAACACTTCCCGGACATGGTTTCGTGCATTTTCGCGCTTTCTTCGGGAACTGTTTCTTTGCATGACATATCCCCAAAGTACTTGACCTCGGTGGTTGCCGGTGCTCCGCTTTCTCTAAACAGGTTGATCATGACGCATGATCGCTAGAAGAACAGCCCTGATGCAATATGCTCTTCATGCAAAGCACATGGAGCAGATTGATCTTGAAAAGAGGCCGTGTTGAACATGAAGCACCGACCGGAGGCAGTCCATGGCTGCACCTGGGTGGCGATGCTGAGGAGGTTGCAGCAGTGAAGGGGCTGGCGGAGAAGGTGGTGGAGGAGTGGGATTCCTTGAGATACTGGCAGGAGGGCAAACACCTCTGGGAGTGCACTTCCAGTTGTCATTTATATCCTAACTAAAGGGATCTAAAGGGCAATGCAAAAGTGATGCTGTAACAGACTCCACTGCCCAGGCCTGCCGTTCTGTTTGGTGTCCCTAATGCGAAGATGCCATTTTAATATATTTCTTGAAGATGGGTGGTTTCGCCTTTTCGGGGATCACCACGGACTGCCATAAGACATAAGTCACAAAGAGATCCTTCGATAGTGTTCAAGATGTATTTTGTCATTGGAGCTTCGCAGAGACGGGGTCACTATAAGATGCTTTGAGTTTGTCATGTTTCTTTGCGGTATATACGTGTTCCAGTACGTGTTCCTTTTTGCCACTTTTGCCACCCAAGTGTGTTTCAAAACAACTTTGCAGAGGACCTGGCACAGAAATGGGAGTCTCTCCAGTTGCCACACCACACAGGAGGTGCGCGTGGAGTCAAACACAGTTGAGAGCGACCAACTAAACCGAGATTTGCAAGTGATTGATTTATGCGCGCAAAAGCTCCTAGTGCGATGCCAGGAGCCCCTAGTAGCGTCCCTTGTTCCTAGTAATTAGCGATGCCCTTGGCTCCTAGTAGCGTCCTGATTTGTGGGCGCCGAAGGGCATCGCTAGGTGAGGGAATGGAGGTGTCATGATGAAAGCAAAAATGGAGCTTACGGAGAGTCATGGTGAGAGTCATGTTGAGAGCGCCCCTTGGCCATCCAGAGAGCACGAAAAAAGCGCCAGGTTACTTCAGATGGTATTGTAAACTGCCAGGGAAGTACAAGGTGGATGAGAAGTCTGCCACTTTGGCTGCAACTTTTCCTGACTTTTGCCACTGACGACATCCACACATGCGACCGCATTTGGAGTAGGACATCAACTTGCAGAGTTGTTATTTCTTTGAATGTCTTTAGATTCTTTAGTAACCCTGCATATCCGTGTTAGTTTTCACTGTTTTCACGGGGGTATATACGGGTACTTGTGGAGTCTTCCTTAGATGATTCCCAAATGCTGAGTTCTTTGGTTTTTCCTTGCAATCCCTAGTACATACGTACTGGATGTTTTGTTAACCACAGTTTCGTAGACCATCGGGTTGTGGCTTTAGGGTGGGCCTAGTAATTAGCGGTGGTGCCCTCTGTGGTGAGCAGATCCCAACTTTGACTTGCCTACCGTTCTCAGGACTTGCTGGAATTGAAAGGCAATGCAGCAGAGTGGCTTGACAGGGCAGGACATGTTTGAAACTCCAAAGTGTTTGGATGCGAATTGGTCACCAAAAATTTTGGAAGCGGAGTTGAGTTCAACCCAAGCATGAGATGGAGCTCCCCCTGGCTGAGTGCTTTGCGCAAAGCTGGAAATATCTCAAATTTGTGTGTCTTTTGTTATTCATGCACTTTTTTAGTACTGTATCCAGGAATCAGGTCATGAGGCTAGATTACGTGAGGGTGCAGGCGCTGTAGTCCAATTGACATATTGGCTCAGCGTACTCACAAACGGAACCCCTATTTTTCTGGTAATTTTTGCAGTTTTTTCTGGAATGTTTTTTTCGCGTCTTTTTGTTTTCCCTACTGTTTTTTGCTTTTTGCTTCTGCTTTTGCTTTTTGTTTTGGCTTTTGGCTTTTGCTTCTGCATTTGCTTTTGCTTTTTGCTTTTCCTGTTGCTTTTGCTTTTTGCTTCTGCCTTTGCTTTTGCTTCTGCTTTGCTTCTGCTGACTATTTTCTGTGCATTGACACCGCCACAAAGTTGGATGATAAGACCTTCACCTTGAGCTTTGACACCCAATTACACCAATCAAGAAACGAAGCAGCCCAGCGCAGTCTATATTTGATTTGCATTGCAGGGGAGGCGCTGCGCCCTCCCCCGCACCGCTTTTTTTATAGTTCCCACTACCGTCCACCACCCCTACTATTTCCAATACCTCTATCACTCGGACCACCCCGCTACGAGTCTTACCACAGTTACCACAACTACTATTTTCTTTGCGTTGATGCTGCCACAAAGGTGGATTTCTGCTTTGCTTAGCCCAAAGAAACCCAAAACCACTGAAACCCAAAGACAACCGCAGAGAAGTCCCTATTATAGACTCTATTATAGTTCCTCTCTCCTCTTTCCTCACTCCTACTTCTCCTTCGTTAAGTGAGATGCCTTTTCCGGAAGAACGCCTAAAGAACCCTAAAGACAAGGAACCGAGCCCAAAGAAACCCGAAACCTGTGAAGCTAAAGACAACCGCAAAGAAGTCCCTAGTAAGTGGAATACATTTTCTGTTCCCTCCCTTTGTCACTGTCATGCTGGCTTTGGTGCTTCGTCCCCTGCCCTTTCTGCTGCTCCCAGCAGAAGCAAAAGCAAAAACAGTAGGGGAAAAAAGTGAAAACAATTCGCGGAAAAAACCTGAAAAAAATCCTGGAAATAACTATCCATCCCTCACAAACATCCACAAACTTCACAAACCAACTCTGATAAGAAGCCGCAGAGAGATAGACAACAGTTCTTTTAGGACGCTGCTTGACATAAGGCGAAGACGTATGTCACAAGCATATGAGGAACTTCGACACAACATCTCTACCAAGCAATTGCAGGCGCGGCCGCGGGGCGCTTGGGATTGTTGGGCGATTCCTTTCAGAGGACCATAAAAGTGAATCATAGCTGAAAAACGCAGTGCATCCGGCCGTAGTACAGTGCAAAAAATACAATGTAGACAGAATAAATAATCATGATCCCCCCATTTGGATTGTAAAGCAATTTTCATGTGAGGGGTTTATTGATCAAGATTCTGCGCAAATTCCTATCTAGGACACATTGCAATCGAATCGCTTGTTTGCAATTTGTTTTGACTGATGCTTGTTGGTCCCTGGCGTCAATCACCATTCCCAACACGGCCTGCCATGAAGACCCCCTCTGAGAGGTTGACGATAATATTCTTCGTTCCAAGCTGATTGGAAAGGAGGGTGTGAACATCAAGCAGATCAGACACAACACGTCGGTCCACATTCATGTGGGAAGCTTGGGCCTCAAAGATTTTCCAGGATGGCGCATGCAGCGATTCGTCGCGTTTTCTCAGCGCAGGTTGAGTGCATACTTTTGACCGCATTGGCCCAGCAACTCCGAAAAGCATAGGGGTTATGAGCAAGTGCAGCTAGCAACTTTTCCACGGCTCCGGTTCGTTTCTGAACGACATCCCTTTGGAATCCTTTGAATTTGTGGACTTTGCAGCTTCTCACCTCCCCGCTTGGCACACGGGTGGAAGTTCCAGTCGCCCAAGGAAAGGATGTGGATACCAGCGTGCGCCTGGCCGGGCCTGCTGACGAAGTAGAACGGGTCCTGCGACGTGTTCGCGCCTTTCTTCAGGCAGGGCTTGGGATGGCAGGGGGTCCAAGAATGCGAGCACTGCTTTGGAAAGTGCATTTGCACCCAATACCACCCATTTGACATGAGGGCATGACATGCTTGTCGTGTTCCCAAACTATGAACCTATGAAATTGCGCCATGAAAATAGCGCACCCCTTTAGTCTTGTTGGCTCAGAGACCGTTGGTTTTGGCCCCTTGGCCAATCAGGGATAAAAAAAAAGCTTGAGTTGCAACAGCAAGCATGGACATCAGATCGCATCCCGATTATTGATATTTCCAGCCATCATCCACCACCAACATCATCGTCATCATTATCCGCTGCAGCAGCACCAGCAAACATAAACCACAAATTGTTGCTTCCCATGATCCACCTGGAAGCGGTTCCTCCATGTTCCTCCCCTATTCCCTGCACAGCTCGAGAGCTGCCTGTCAGGAGCATCGTCAAGTGGTGAGAGAGCTGCCGCTGCCACCGCACGTGGCTCCAGGCTTTGTGGCGTCGCGGCTCCGCAAACTGGGCGCTGAGAGCGAGGCGAAGAGCTGAGGAACTGGAACGGACAGTGGATCTATTCGCGCGATCGGTCCAGGATGAATGTCCCGAAACTGGGGCTCAGCGTGACTCAGTGATATGAGCAACCGATGCGAAGGATCGAAACCTCTTGCTCAGCTTGAGGGTGCTGTTGATTGCTGTGGAACGTGCATGTTGAAGGATGCCCACCCTGGAGCCCTAAAGCAGACTATAGGCTTTGTAAAGCGATGGGAAAAGACTGACGGGTTTCTTGCTAATTGCTATCACATTTGAGACCACCAGTATCCACAGTATCCACCAGTCCTGCTTTCAGCAAGCATCAGATTATAATGTAGAAATTTGGACACCGCGCAAACCAGGTCATGTCCCTTGCCTGGCTTGCAGCCGGAGTGCATCCACCTTTAACTCTTGCCATTTGACCATTGTTTGCCCATCACATCATCGCTAGATATCGCCATAGAAAGCTACTCCGAAGCTACACCTGCCATAGATGGACGACTAGCTCACCGCATCTTGTCCCTCGCAGGCGCGGCTCCAGCTCCCGCGCGACGGCACACCCACGGTGAAGGTACGAGGCAACCAGCGGCAGGTGGACTATGCGGAAGTGTCTCGGTGGGTGACAAGGTGTTGGGAGCTATTGGGATGGTAGTTGTCAAGAATTTGGTGCTAATAGACAAGAGTGGTGACGTTCGCAGAGCAGCATCCCACCGCCCAACTTTCAAAACTAATTACGGTTTTGGAGCATTATGTTTGAGAGGGAGCATGGACAGACGGCTGGGATGCGAGCCTGTCCAGGAACTTCTTGACGAGCTGATTTATGTGAAGTTTGGCATGGTCAAGCTGAAAGTCATCAAGCAGTTGGTGAGCGACTTTATAGTGGGGAAGAATGGAATACACATGCGCTCCCTCAAGGGAGAACGCGATGTGCATGTCCAGATCAATGATTCTCCGTGTCACGCGTGGTCGGATTGTTTCATCACTGGAAGTCTTCAAGACTGTGTGGCAGTATCTGAAGAGATTTCAGTTCGCTTACGGAGACGCTTGGAGTGAGACTTTAGCATTAGCTAGTTGCGCCCAAGGATTCGTAACGCAGATGCTGATGCTGTTTTTGTTTGCTTTAGCTTGATCCCAAATTGCCTAGGGCCTCGAACCCCCCTTAGCCGGTTGCAGGTCGGTAGTTGGATCCGACTCATCTCCAAAATATGCACCAATCTGAAGAAACATAGGCGGAAAATGTTAGAATAGAACTGCAGTTCATGATATCTTTACATACTGTATCAAGATAATAATAAAATATATCAAGATATATCAAGATTCTTTGTAGGTGTGTTTCTGTTGGTTCATTGGAATGTCTGACCTCGCTGGAACAAACATCGTTCGGACGTAGGATACACCGTGGCTTCCATCCCAGTGGATCCTTCCAGAGTGGGGCTGATGATCGGGAAAGGCGGCGCCAACATCAAAGCCTTGAAGGAACCCGTTTTTGTTGTGCGGAGTGGGGGTGTTTTTGAGGAACACCAGCCATGTGTTTGTTTGGTGGCAGATTTCCTACGAAGGCATTGCTTAAGAAACGTTGCTTGCAGCTTAGATAGCGACTCCAGGTCCAAGTTGGATGAAGAAAGACCATGTAAATCCATATCTCGGAACCAACGTTGCTATATAATTGTTTGTTCTCTAGAAAGCATGACCTCAAACGATGGTCTTCCCTCCAGGAGGGCCTGGACATCCGGGAAGACACCCGCCAGAATCCTTGGACCATCAGCGGGCCCAAACAGGACGCGTGCGAGCTGGGACCAGTCGAAGGTTGCCAGGTGAGCTAGGCGGCGGATGGTGAAAGGATGCTGATGCGAAAGTTGCGAAAGTTGTGAAATAATCTTGAAGAGATGATGTTTCCGTTGATGTGTTTCAATCGAGACGCATGGATGTGTCATAAACTGCAATCTAATTTCAATCTAATATATATATATATAATTACAATCCCCCGCCGAAAAAAATGACCCTCAGATTTTATAGACACGTGTTCTATAGAATGAAATCTCAACCTACCTGGGAAAAAATGGCCTTAAAAGATGGGCCGCCACTGGGTCAGTTTGGCTGATGCCCAATAGGTTGAGCTAGTCCGTTTTATAGAGGAGGCATGAAGGTTCTAGCTTTGTTTTATGCATTTGTATTCCGAATCATTCAATCATCCTCTGTGCGATTTCCGGTGAGTGTCGGGATCTAGATTTCAATTGTCCAATCACCCCTGCATAAAACTTTATAAACTATAAACTAATTCATTAATTTTAAAGATGGACTGTTGTTGCATTCATTTCTGCTTAAAGCTTAACCTTCTTCAAAAATCAATTTCAACCCTGCAGTGCCCAGACATGTCTTTATAAATCGAAGCCAACCTCTTGGGCAACTTTTGTCCAAGCGTTTTCCAAAATCAACTTCAACCTTAATATGTCCCCCACTTCTCGATAGAATCAATTTCAACCTTGGCTTTGCATCATTAATGTTCCCAAATTTTGCCATCGAGCTTTAATGAGGAGAAAGACATTTTGGCCATCAGGTTGAGCTGAACCATTTTGTAGAGAGCAGGTTCTCAGCACTGCAGGAGGTTGATACTTTATTCTCAGTGGGTTCAAACTGCCCTTTGAGGTTGGTTTTTCGTTTTGTCACTATAGAATCGATTCCCAACATTCACCGGTAATTCCACAGGGGTTTATATTATACATACATAGTTACTGTAATCATAGTTATATATATATATACAATTGTATGATTATGAATATATTATACATCTATGTTTCTGTCACAGAATATGATGCAACATTGAACATTGCTACACCATCCTCCGTTCCTGGTCCCGTTCAAAGCTGCAACCCGAAAAAGACCACTGCTTCGTTTTCCTTGCCACGTTCCTTCTCTCGACCAACTTCATGTCAGCGAGGACGTGCTCCAGTTCTTCGACCGTTTCCAGGCCCGCTTTGGACCCAGCTTCTTCAGCGGGGGTCTTGAGCCCTGGCGCTTCGCGTGTGTGGGCTGCGGTGAGGACTTTCCAGCCATGGAGCTGATGATGGCTCATGTGCCGAAGTCTGCAAACCATGGGGGGGTAACGGGTGTCTTGGTGGTCACCGTAATGTGCTGTGTAGACAGTATATTCCTCCATATAAACAATTGGTTATATATATATATATGCATATGTGTATGTACAAGTTTGTATTGAGCATGTTTATATAAAGACAGTTAAGCTTTCCTTGGGCGCTCGTAGGGGAAGACCATCTTCAAGTCCAGTTGCCAGGATCCTCGGGTAGTATGTTCTATATAGTTTGTTTCGTTTAAGTAAAAATCAAGAAACTAGGTTGGAGCCCAAATCCAACATCCACATACCGCCGAAATGTTGATCTTTTCTGATGGCCATAAGAATGTTGGCTCCCCAAGGTCAAAGAGCAATCTTGCTCTGCACGGACCTGTATGAGCGGTTGCGGGGCGTACTTCCCCCCGAAGCTTGCTGTGGGAAGCACGAGTCCTTGTGCAAGATGGTGAAGAGACTCGGTTTTCGAGGCGCTTGCACTTTTCGTCAAGAGGTAGCCTCAGCTGCATAGATTGTGATCGTGTACAGTCGCTTTTGCTGGTGTTCTCTGAGCTTCCTGCTTTTGTTTTTAAAAGTTTGGTCCCTTTGATACGCGTGTTTCTTTTGATATGTAAGATCCTGCAAGTAATTGCGGCCGAGACCACTACCGTGAAAAACCACTAACCCGTGCCTTTTGCTCCTTGCATGTTGCAAGGTATTTTAATTCGATGCAGTTGAAAGTGGACTTAGTTCTTCTGTGAGCGTGGTCGTTTGTTCTTTTATTGGTCTTCGAATTACAGCCAGCCGCAATGCATGAAGTTATATAAGTATATATAAGTTTCTTTTGTGGTCTTGCTTACACAGACCAGCTGAGCGCCGACACGTGCTATCTTCACCAGCAGACTGTACAGTCAGCCGAGTGTCAACTATCTTTTGACATAAGGGCCAAGGGTGAGTAAGCTAAGCTCCCCTTCTGTATTTTTATGCTAAGAGACTACTTGTCTATAGTGTGGAGCAAACTGGACTTGTAGGTATATGGCACCGTGGTACTTGTGTTTGTATTTAGACTTGCTGGGCTTGACTTTTGCCTCGAAAGGAAGAAGGTGGCGTCACGGTGCTTTGTTCTGGAAGTTGTTTATGAATTGCGCTTGCTGTTGTGTGCGCGCGCTGATGTTTACTGCTTTCCTTCTGGCTCAAGGGATCGCTCGAAGAATAAACACTCTAGCAGCAACCTGCGCCAGCTACGTACCTCACTCACTCACTCACTCACTCACTCGCGCAACTCTCTGTGTAGGGCCCAGCCGCGGAAGACAACGTCCCATGCTTTGGAATTGATTTACCTTCTTTTGAAGTAGTACGGCGTAGGACTAAGAGAGCCGAGTCACTACAGCCTCGCTGTTGCTGAATGTATAGTTCTCCAGCCGAGCATCTTCCGAGATGTAGGAGTTCTTAAGATGAGACTCCTGCTATACTTTTAAGCTGTGAGACTGCAATGGCCATGGACTTTTATACTGGCCTTCAGGACTGTGTGGCACCATGGTCACTTTGTTGTACCATGTTGTACCGTGCTTCTGCTGGACTTGCCTGTGCCTTGAAACCAGGATTAAAAGCAACACTATGCTCTGTGTATGGGGTGTGTTATGAATTTGTTGCCTGCTGTTGTGTGTGCTTGTCCCCAGACTCTATTAGCACAGCCTGTGCTCCACAGCGCGCGCGCTGTTGTCACTCTTCACCCCCACCCCTCGCGTCGCAAGTCGCAAGCATCATTCGAGTGATATGATTGGAGCTAGCCTAAAGAAGAACATGTTGCTCTAGAGTTTCTCAGCACACAATCCCCTGCATTGTGGGTCATTCGTTATGACTGGCGCTGGAACAGAACAGAGTATTCTCTCTCTTACGAGCCCTTCTCAAGCACGAGTAGCAGTAGCAGTAGCAGTAGTAGTAGCAACAGCAGCAGTAGTAGCACTAGGAGTAGGAGAGGAGGAGGAGGAGGAGCAGCAGAAGTAGTAAGTAGCAGTAGTAAATAGTCAGTACTGGATGAATTTGCTTTGTGCTTCCCCACCCGTCAAGTGCAGGGTGGCAGCGTTCCCCGCCGGACCTCCGCGAGCTCCGGCTCGCCAACCTCAACCGCAACTGCCAGATCACAGTGCACACTACCGGACCTCAACACAACCACAAGCACGCAATACACAATACACAACCAACAAAGTACAACCACCAGACACAAACGCAAAACGCAACCGCAAGCAGACAAACCACGAAGACAATCACAAACACACAAGCACAACCACAAACACACAGCCACAAACACAACCACAAACACACAATCACTAGCACACAACCACAAACACGACCACAAGGACAAACACACAACCACAAACACACAACCGCAACGCACAACCACAAACACAGGAACCACAAGCACAACAAACACAGAAGCCACAACACACACACAACACACAACCACAAACACAGAAACCACAAGCGCAACCACAAACACACAACCGCCACACAATCACATCACACAACCACGACACACAACCACAACACTCAAACGTAACAACAATATGTTTGCCTGTGTGTTTGGCATTTTGCGTGGCAGGTCGTCACAGGGTAGCCCTTTTGGACGCCAACTAGCCCCGACGCAAACTTCCTAACACTAAAATAGCAATCCCAAACCCGAGTGCCCACAAGCAAAATGGAAAACCTCACAAAACTCACGACCATGGCAACATGCATGAAAGCAAAAGATTGAAATGTCATGGTTGGGATCACTCGAAGTAAAGTAATTGTTGTTTTTTTGCATGTTTTCTTTTTGCGGAGGGTTTTAATTCTGATCCAGATTAATCATCTGGGATTATCCTGACTGACTAATAGCATTCTACTTCATGACTTGGGCACTTAGTTCTAGCCTTTTTGTCCACAAATTGACAGACTTGGGCATATTGCTTTAACTTAAGCCAGCTATTTCCAGTTTAATCCTCAATGAAATCTAACCTGGTTCTGATTCAATTCGAATTTAGTCGTCCGAATTTAATTTATTTCAACTTGAAGTAAATCAAATATAAGTCTACTTCAAACCAAATTTAGTACTCAATTAATTCCGATGTGAATCTAATTAGCTTCTGAGCCAAATTTAATTCTACTTTAATCTTGTTTGAGTTCAAATTCAATTGAAACTCATTTCCAAATTAGTTCTGCCCTAATTGTATTTTTGATTTGTTTTAATTTGGCTCTAATCAATTTCTAAGTCTAAGCCAGTCTTGATTTCAATTCTAACCGAGTTCTAATTTAAACAGAATGCTTTTAACCAAATCAAAAATCAAATGAGTCCAACCTAACTTTGATATATTCCTATGCTAGTGAAAGGAATTGTTAATTTCCCACACAGTGTGGGCACATTAGGGGTTCTTACGGTAGTAGTTAAGCACCGGTGTCTAATCAGAGCTGTTGCGCGGGCGTGTGCGGCTAATTCGCCTGCTATTTGCAGTACTTGGCTGGAGCAGGTGCTTCTCGCGACTGTGCTCTCGTTGTGGAGCCGCGCGCATTTTCGGACATGGCGGTCACTTTTCGTGGCAGGCGCAATGGAAACCTCGTGTTTTGGACCACAAGGGATCGGAGCGGTTTTACTTCAAAATGCGAGATCGTGGCAGGCGCAGCACTTTGGACATGGTGGTGATCTTTGAGGTACTTTGATTTCAAACAGGTGCGGTGAATCTTGACTTGACTTTTGGACATGTGGCTCGTGTGCAGATTTCGTGGCAAGCACAGCGCTTTGTGAACCTCAGAGTGCAAATTTCGTGGGAGGGGCAGCGTTTGGTGAACCTCAAAGTGCAGGGTTCGTGGCAGGCGCAGCACTTTGTGAACCTCGAAGTACAGATCTTGGCAGGCGCAGAAGATGGTACAAGACGCACTCACACACTCTGGCTCACGCTCACACTCACTCACTCATACTCACTCTCACTCACACACACGCTCACTCACTCTGACTCTCACTCTCACTCACAGTCACACTCACTCACTCACTCACTCACTCACTCACCACCGCCACCATCACCACGATCCCGACCTTCATCACCACCACCACCTCTCTGGACCCAATACGTCTAGACCCCTAGACCTTGTTTGGGGCCTCTTGCCGGGGTAGCTAACTCAAACGTAATTCTAACTATTGATGTTTGCTCAAGTCTTTTTCAATTTAGTTCTATGTTTATTCAAACATAGTTGAGTTGTAAATTTATTTGTTTTACATATGTACACTTCAAACATGATATTTACAATCCTAAGTGAATTCTGTTTGAGTTCCAAGTTGATTCTGATTTATTGCTAGTTCAATGCAAATTGAACTCTAATTTCATGATGATTCAATGCAAATTTCATCGTAATTCGGCTTGAATTCAACTCTTAAACAGTGCTAGTTAATTGTAGAGAGGCGGCGCCGCTTATTAAAGATAGCTTGAATATGAAGCTTTTGAGAAAAACAATGGAATTAGATCTAAATATGATACGCATGCAATTTGGATCATTTTAGACTTAAACAAGCAATAGTTCCAAAAAATTGAATGAAACAGTCTGAAAAAGATTTGAAAGAGAATTCTCAAAACAAGTAAGTTCAAACTCACCAAAAAAAGAAGTATTATCAATAGGGAACGCATTAGAAAAAACAACACTAATTGCAAATTAGAATCTTCCATGAGCTGCCCTTGAGTCACAGCAAAAGCATTTTCCCTAGACTTCCAAGACCATTTAAGGACTGGTTGACCTGGCTTTTGTAGTGTGAAGTCTCAGTTGATTTGGTAAGGCCTATTAAACTAATGGCTGTTGGAAGCTTGGGGCTTTGACTGTCCAGTCAGTGAAGAGTTCACACCTTGAGCAACAAATGAAGCCAAGAAAACTGCATTCTCACAGTCCCCGCAGTAGTGGTGGTGGTAGTGGTAGTAGTAGTCTCAGCAAAGATCTAAAGGATGAGACATAGCAGAACGAAAGACACAAAATCAATAAACACACCTGATTTCAACAACCACCTTGGACCGGCCCCAGTACACCATTCAGAGGTTGTGAATGATTTGGAAAAGTTTTCCCACCTGCCAGGTGACTACCGCACCCCAACAGCAAGTGCCAGATCGCAGTTGTCAACCGCAAGTGCCAGATCGCAGTGGGCGCTACCAGACCTCAACAGCAAGTGCCAGATTGCAGGGGGTAACGCCGGACCTCAACCGCAAGCCGCAAGGGCCAGTTTGTAGTACTGCCGGACTTCCACCACAAGCGCCAGACCGTAGTGGACACTGCCGCACCTCAATCGCAAGGGCCAGATCGCAGTGGGCACTGCTGGACCCCGACCGCAAGCGCCAGATTGCAGTGGGCACTACCGGACCTCAACACGCAACACACAACCAACAAAGCTAAACCACAATACAGAAACACAAAACACTACCAAAAACAGACAAACCACAAACACAATCACAAACACAAC